TCCACCGAGAGCACAGCTTTTTCACACCCAAATGTTTGTGTAATATTGATTGTATTTGACTCATGCCTATGCCTAAAGATGCCAGAATCTCATGGTATGTCACATGCTTGTCTGTTTTGATCATACGGCGCACAGCACCGATATGTTTGTTGTTCACAGCAGTGGACGGGCGATCATCACGAAATTCGTCACTGAGATTCACACGACTGCGTTTGAATTCTGCAAACCAGCTATAAATAGTCGTCTTGCATGATGTTTCATCGCCAAAAGCAGTTTGAAGCAGAGCGAAGCTCCGCTGAGCTGTTCAATTACACTTAGTCGTAGAAAATCATACTACGAAAATTTTCATGAGTAAAAGCATGGTGATGTAGACAACCAATTTCTAAAATGACGCCACAATGTAAAAACAAGTGACAGTCAGATGAAACAAACTGTATTCTACAGCCAAAGAGTTCCATTTTCAAATGTAATTACTTTTTAAATATTGAGTATGTAAGTGGCCAGTTCCGGAAACTTATAGTGCGCCTTATGTATGCGCATACGAATTGGCAGTGTGTTTATGTCATATTCAAGAGTGAAGCCATATAATATTTATAAAAACGAATGTAACGTAATCTTAAGTTGTCGTCCAATATCTTCATAAACATTTTTGTTGATAGGTTCAAACTTATTGACCAATTGAAAATTACAAAAAACAAGCAAACAAGCCTTTTAAACAAAGTCTGCATCAAGTACATAGAGAAATTTGTAAGGTCGGCTGATTCGTTTTGCAGCTCCGTTGGGCGAACGGGCATACTGTCGCTGGTTTGAGTCCAGCCGGTTTTTGGTATCACGACGGTATCACTGCGATCACTAGCTGAAATATGGTAGGACATTTTTTTTACTCTTTTTCTATTTAGGGGCTTTGATCGTTATTGAACATGTCAGCCCCATTAGAAAAACGATACCTAAAGAAAACACTTAATAAAATCCAGACATATAAATAGAAATACTACTTAACCAAACATGTGTACAAAATCTCCGCAGCACTATATGTTAGCTCCGACAAAACAGATTGAAACCACCCAACATTAAATGTACGGAAACAAGCTTGTGCAAATAACCGCGCCCTCATAGGTTCCGTCCGAACACACTCCGTCGATGTTCGATCGATGATCCATGAGGATGTACATCCTCAGGAATCCCACATACTTCTCAGCAATTTGGTGAATTCACCCTGCGCATCAAATCGCACATTTTTGGTACGTTCTGTATAGTCGCAATGCTGGCCATATATACATAATTCAAATGCTAACTACATGATTGTACTTGTCATAATTATACCGATATTGTGCTGATTTTGTGCTTGTTACTTTATTATTATAAATAATGGTAACTAAGTATTTGGATACAGTAATGACACTACAACTCTACCTAGCCGAGTGAACCATGATACAATACAATACAAAAATTCTTTATTGTACACCAAAAAAGGAAACAAATACAATACAATTAAATTAAAAATAAGCGGTGGTACAATGGGCGGTCTTATCGCTTTAAGCGATTTCTGTCAAACAACCTTTGGATGGAAGTAATTATATAATTCACAGGAAAAAGACGGCGGTGTATGAGGAATTACTAATCAATAGATAATAATTGATGAATAAATGCAAAAAAAAATAAATATAAATAAGTAATAAAACCAATACATATATATGAATATCGTAAACTACTATATATTCTTATACCTATAAATATAAAATTTCTAAAACGTAATTTCAAAACATAAAAATACCTAAGCAGTCCAAGTCACACTAAATTAAGGTAGTGTATTTTTACCATATTTTTTAATATATTCAATGATTTCGCTTGTTGAATAAACAAAGGTAAAGCGTTCCACAAACGAATAGCCTGAACAGTAAAGGACTTGTCGTAATACTGGGAGGTATGCAATGGCATCTTAAGTTGGAGAGTTGAAGAAGAGCGCAGAAGTCGGGGGTTGGATTCATGGGCGAATTCAAATCGCTCCTTAAGGTAAGGTGGTGTGTGAGGAATGAATAAGATGCCATAAAGAAGATTAAGAATGTGAGCATTCCGGTGAAGTCTAATGGGTAACCACTTCAGCTCCTTGCGATAAATGGAATGATGATAAATGACATGATCAAATTTCCTCAGACCATAAATTAAACGGATGCAAAAGTTTTGTAGACGTTCGAGCTTGTTGAGCTGTTCTTCGGTTAAATCCAGATAGCAGGCATCATCATAATCAACAATTGGAAGATGATGTGAAATGATTTGTTTTAATTAGTTTAAAAAATACATTTATCACCCTTGACACGGTAGATTGCGATAAATAACTCTCTCTTGCTTACGAATTTCGTAAAATTAAATTCAAAACGAGTTTTTTATACATTTACTGCACGTAGTTTTGAAACTGCTTGGCCTGTAAATCGAACCAGTTCAAGTGAAATACCTGTCTTAAGTTGACATTTGCACTGATTTAATATCTGCTTAATTTAAAAAAAATAATACAAGGATGCACGTAGAAAATGTTGCCTGGAGGCAAACACAATGTATGTAAATATAAAAATTTAATAATACGAGGGTAATAATAATAATATATAATAACGATCGAAACAATATTACTAGTGAATAGACGAACCCAGAATCGTGAGCGTCTAAGGACGTAAATCGGTAATGCCAAGTGCAAACATATCGAATCCATTGTGTCAAGGTTTCACTCGAGTTTTCAAGGTGCACCTATTGCATCAATAGATATAGCACCAAAATATTGGAGACTCATAGTTGTTTGGAATGCAAATAACCTTTGTTCAGCTGTAGGATAGTTGTGATCGCCTTTTTGTTACAAGTAGTAGCAGTATATCCTTGTGAAAGAATTCGTCCAACTAGTACAAAAAAAAGTAATAAAAAAAAAGTAGTAAAAAAAAAAAAGTACTGCCACCTTACCTATTTCTGCTGCCAAGCGGTCATTGAGCATTACTGCGTTCCGGTTTTGAAAGGTGAAGGATCTTGTAAAATTACAGGCACATGGAACTTGTCAATTTATGTGTCACGGTGACGGGCACATTGGCAGTGCCCCTCAGATCTTCGTGATTTAAAGCACTGAGTTTCACTGCAACTATTCGTGGTGTCATAAAAACAGAAACATCCTGTGGTGTTCATTATGAACCAATGAGTTTGACTAGTATATGTATTATATTATTATATCCGTGTACCGTGTGTATTATAGCTTTGTACAGAAGTGCGTAAATTATATTGGACATAGGCCTTGTACCAATATGGACTTGCACCAAGCCTTAGACATATTTAAAAAAAAAAGAAAATATATTTATCAATTTGAAATTATTTATAATTTTTTTGTTCTGCTAAATGTTTCATGCGTTAGTACGATTACATGCTGAAATATGGTCACTTTTTTATTATATCTTGTATACTTGTCAACTTGACACATCGAGTACTTGACATAATTCAAATGGGTACATGACAGACCGGGGAGTTGCCTTTAAACTAACAGGTAGAGAGTGGATCGCAATTTACAAATGTTATAATGTCTTTGACATTAGATTGAATTTATAGTTTTTATATTATTGCAGTGTTTTATAAACATGTATAAAAAATCTGTGTATAAAAGTTTAAAAAACGGGTATAAAAATATAAAAAGTTATTTAACTGAATTGTGTCATTGTATCTTAAATTTTGTTTTGCTGTTTATTTAATGAAATTGTAGTAATAAGATGTTCTAACTTGCTTTTAATTTTATAATATTTGAACTTGCCAAATGTGACATTTTTGTATAAAAAGGCCAATAAATAAATTTAATTGAATTTGAAATCAATTTAGAATTATGTAAGTTCGCTTTCGCCCGCGATCAGGACAAATATTATATCGGATATACGAAAACATTGTCAGTTCGATTGTATTCTATTTATCTTTTATATCTAACGCGTACTCATTGGCAGATTGCGTATTAATTTGTAGCTGGTGGAGCATATCGTTCAGCAAGGAGCAACTTCTCACGGTAAATCACGTCTAAAATTGACCTTTTGAAGACGTCTTGGGTGTTTGTGTGTTTGCTTTGTCGCTAATTAATTAGGGTGGCTTTCTGATCACCTTTGCAAACTCCTATAACGTTACTTTTTTTTTTGTAGTGTTCTAATATTTCCTTGTGGATTTCCGTGTTAATTATGAATTCAGCCACGTTACTTAACCTTTTAACCGCCACAGATAATAAACTAGTTTCGTTCCCTTAGACGCCAAACCTATATAGTGATGTAACATGTTATGAATTTTCGCCATAAATTAATCCAATTCTCTTAAGTCAAAGAAAAACGTAACTGAACATAAAATGAAACTATCAATCCATACTTCAGCAGAATATACTACTAACACAAGGAATATCTTAATATTTATTTGTCAATTAGAATTGAAAATAAAAGGGTTTCATTGACGCCTTAAAGCCTCATTGGCGTATCAGCCAAGACGTTACTGTGTTCCAGTTTTGAAGGGTAAAGGAGCTTGTGAAATTACAGGCACACGGGACTTTCAGCTTATGTCTCAGTGTAACGGGCGCAGTGGCAATACCCGTCAGATCTTTGCGATATAAATCTCTGAGTGCCATTGCAACTGCTATGGACAGACATGCCTGCTTGCACGCTGAACACTAGGCGCACGACTTATTCGTCCCATCACATGGTATCATAAAAAATCATTTTCGTTAAAATTGTATGTCCGTTAGGGCTGTAAAGGATGTATGTCCCTTGGGATAACCATATAAGTTAATGGTATTATTAATAATATAACAATAATGGCATATTTACTTGTGTACTCCACAAAATGACAGTTGTATATGAATCGAAATAATAAATATATGATAAAATATATTTTACATGACTTTTGCTAGAGATTGCTAACTAAACTGAACTAATTTACCATATGATTTATTTTTGTTTACTTACAAAAATTTTACGCAGAAAAACCATAAAGCTGTAGTATCAACACACCTTAGCATTCCGTTTAATGTCGTCACAATCTGTTCAGCAATCCAAATTTCCATAGAAGTGGTCACATCACAACAAAGCACGTGTATCGTTTAAAAGTTATCGTCATATAGAATACGAGCAATTTGTCGCTGGCGTCTGTCTCAAGCCGCACCGGTATGCCGACTGCCCGACACCAAGGCGATTCAGTCGCAAGGACTTGTGTAATAGAACGTCACTCTAAAGCCCTGCACACACAAGAACTTACGTTATATGTATATTTCAGTATAGCTTCTAAATTAAAAACACAAAAAATTTCCCACTTAAGAAATCCATTCTGATAAACACTTTGTATACATAAGATTGTTACACATTGGAAGTGAAATTATTTTTCGGACGTATGGGACCTGTATAGGTCCTGAAACGTCAGTTTGTTTGAAAAAACAAATATACGCATTTTAGATCCGAAAAATAGTTTCATTTTTTTTTTAATAATAACGCACACACTCAACATAGCCCCGCACTAGGGAAACCCTGTGTCGCGGGTGCCATGGACACACACATATAGACAACCACAAATTACACCCAAACTCACGAGAGAAATAAATGTAGGTCATCAAATATTTCTCCCGGCCCGGGAATCGAACCTGGGGCCTCTGCGTGGCAGTCCGGCGTGGTAACCGTTCGGCCACAGAGGCAGTTCAGAAAAGTTCAATTTAGAAAGTAGGCTTTATATATATTTTTACTGACTTAAAAAGAGGAGGTTCTCAATTGGCCTATATTGTTTTTGTGTATGACGCGATTACTCTGACAATTGCGAACCGATTCGATGATTCTTCTATTGTTTTAAAGGGGGTATCTCAGTAGTGGTGGTCCTATTCACATTTGAAGAAAAATAATCGAACTCTAAGGGTGACAAATTAGGGGATGAATCCGGTGTATTAAATTTCACCCACTTTCCGTTAACTGATTTCAATGAAACTTGGCACTAAGACGTAATTCCAATGAAAATAAAATGCAGCGAAAACGGATAAGCAAAGTTTTGAGGTCGGTTTTTTTTATTATTAAAACGTTATAATTATTAAACTGTTGTATGTCCTTGTAGAACATAAAATATTTGTCAATTCTGTTTAGAATTAGCGTTAATTTCGTAAACACTGAGTAATGTTAATTGACATGAATATTTTGAACACAAACATTTATTTATGATTAATATTGGGTCATTCACAATTAGCGCCCAGTTACACGACGCGAAAGTTTTCGCGCGGCTGCCGCGCGGCGACCGCCCAGTTACCACGCTTTCATGTCCATTAATGGTGAATCTGAATTCTATTTACTAGGCAACAATATTTAAATTACTCTGGATAATACAACCCCGCGATCGCCGGGCAGCTACCGCGCGGCCGCCGCGTAGACCAAATTCTAGCCAGTCTCGCCTGCGCACCCGGACGCTCATTTAAGTCAAAACGTAGAGGCGAAAATATAGAGCGTATTTTGCCATGACAGATTCATGCGGTTGCTGCGCGGGGTGAGCGCGATGAAATTCGTGTGGAATAAATGATTTAGAGTTTTATTATCTTTACCTTGACTAGTCTAACATGAAGTTACTGATTTCCTTGAAGAAAATTATAGTACAACAAGTAAAGTAATTTTTTTACTCATTACAGGAAGTTTAAATAATAATAATAATAATCATTTATTTCCAATCACAATGGTATTGATGTTATAATAGATACATACAGAAGTTGAAATGACAATGTGTTTGACCATTGTGAGAGAGCGGAATCTGTACTAGGATACCCTGTGTTACAGTATTCTAGTATTCACTCTCAGACTCGATCTAGAATATGTGACAAAGGTGCAGTTAATGACTATTAATACTTCATAACAAAAATAATAAAAAGAAAAGATAACAAGTTCGAAAGCTAAATCAGTAAGTACAATACGTTGTAATGTGTAAATTGTGTGTGGGTGTGTGTGTGGGTGTGTGGGTGTGTGTGGGTGTGTGTGTGTGTGTGTGCGTGTGCGTGTGCGTGAGCGTGAGCGTGCGCGTGCGTGTGTCTGTGTCTGTGTGTGTGTGTGTGTGTGTGTGTGTGTGTGTGTGTGTGTGCGCGCGCGCGTGTGTGCGCGCGCTTTTATTTTCAATTATTCTGTCGTAAATTATTGTATGTTGTCGAGTTCTTAAGTTTACGCGATTGTTACACATAGGAAATGAAACTATTTTTTTTAAAGTTAGTTTGATAACAAAATTATTTCGTTTAGTAAGGTTTGGGTGCCATTGCTATCTATTGGATGGTAATGCCCGATTATCTCTTATTCAAGTAAAAGTACTCGTGGGTTCGAATTAAGACTCGAACCTGTGAGTTTCTCGGAATTTTTCTGCGAAATTTATTTTGAAATTTACAATGAGCTTTTCGCTGAATGAAAATCATCGTGGTGAAACCTGCACATCGAAACACTTCAATAGAAAGCCCATCCCCGACTTGGTACGAGGAAGAAACGAATGTGATGCCCTCATGGTTTTTGAATGCCAAGCATCAAAGATAACATTGCAAGTAACGCACACGCTAGCGATGCGCGATTGTGAATGATTTCGATATTCGACACGTTAGTAATCGCTAATCCTGTCATTCGAATGTCAAATTAATAACCTACTAATTTTCGTATGAAATGGTTTGAATGAACATTCATTACTAATTAGTAGTACTAATCCTATAGATTCCATAAAGCATTTCTGTTCGTGATAACCTAGCCCTCTCTGACATAATGGTAAATACTGTAAATGTGACGGAGACAGGGATATTTTGGTATGGATATGATGAATGAGGTGTTCCGATATAATAATCATTCGACTCGTGCACCCGACCGAATCGCATTGGCATTCGGTATTGATGATTGTGCTTGGATTCGACTTGGCGAATGATTTGCCCATTCGAATGATTAGTATTAGTAACGTTCAAAGTCGCGCATCGCTAGCGCACACTAATAACCCCACACTAGGGAAACCCTGTATCGCGGGTGCTATAGACTCACAGACAACCACAAATTACGCCCAAACTCACCAGAGAAATAATTGTGAGCCATACAAATATTTCTCCCCGCCCTTGCCAGCCAGTTCATGAAGTCTACTCCCGTTCTGCGACCAAATCAAAAAACAATGTCTAGTAAGATGCTTGATTCACATCCTGCGTCTTTTAATTTTGTCGAATATTACTTATTTCACAGTCATTGTTTCGGACGGAGAAAAGGACATGTGGGCAGGGACTCTCAACTACTACTTTGGCGGAAAGTGCTATAGTGGAAACTTGATAGTGGATCTTGTAATGGATCTTCTAATATTATCCACAAATTTACATAAATGTCGCTGAACCCCTTTTTCTTTTCAATGTATTTCCCATCGATATATTGAATATACGACGATACATACCCAAATTTACTTTAAATATACTTTACATTTTGGCTTTGGTTATACACTAAATGTGTATCACTAATTACAGGTTTCTTACCACGGTATGAGTTATTTTTATTTTCCCAATATTTCGGAACGTTTACACTCGAGTAAACCTGTGACCATGGAGCGTGTAACCGTTCCGAAATATCTGGAACGTAAAAAGAACTCATACCGTCGTAAGAAACCTGTTTTTAGTGATAATCATTTGTAAATACAGATCCCTAAAAGCACTTTGAAAAACATCTCCTGACCAGGATCACGTGGCATAAATTAACAGCCTAAAATACTGTACATATCAAAACGTATTTATTGCGCAGTTCTATTGAGAATTAAAGCCAGTTTATTATAACAAATGCTGATTAAAAAACAAATAATGTTTACTTTAATAGGCCATTTACAAAATCAGCAATATAGTCTTTTATTACATTGGATAACAAGACAACTGCGTCGCTATAACCTGAAACTTATGCACAGCAATTTCACAATGATAAAAAAGTCAATGTCACGAAGCAGGTTTCGTTTCAAAGGCAGAGCAGTGGTTGGCATACTTTTTCGCGTAGCAACAATTTGTAGAACAATAAAAATATGAATCTGTAAAATTAATTTCTATGGTACTAAAGTCGCACATTTCTTCATATTTACATTTGTTTGAATTTTTTGTTGGCTTCAATCAATCAGAACAACGCATGATTGAAATTCTTATGTAATTTAAATGTGAGTGAGAGAGAGAAATAATGTTTGATATGTAGTATATAGATATAAATAGTAGTATACATATTAAGAAACACGGTATAGGCGCCAAAGTTGGCATATAATATTTCACAACAAAGTTTACGGTTTGTTTTAATGATCATCATGATGCTATATATTACAAAATACCTTTTGTTCATAACTGTTTTCAATATTTACTTTAACCTTATTCTGCCGAATGCTTGAAAGGTAGAATTATCATGAATTATGATATTTAAAACGATAATCAAGTATTAAAATTCACATTAATTCATTTGAATGTTTTATCTTCTGAACGAATTTGCTCACCTCAAATCGTGATACACGCAACAAAAGAAGCCGAATGTTTCAAAATTAGTTACATTAATAGATATACACTTTATTTCTTACACACAAGAACAAAAACAGTACAAAAACAACTTAAAACTAATGTGGGTGGATGAAAGCTCGATTAGCTTTGTAGCTTTAGAGGGGGAGACATAGTGCCCAAACGGCAAAATTTTAAAAAATTAGTATAAACAAAAAACGCACATTAAATTATTATCTCATAACTATATAGTATAGGTACCTACGTAAATTTAGTAGCAATAGAGTTCCTTGCAGAAGCCACTTTGTTTACTTTTGCCGCGTTTTTACTGCGCGCCAGTGAAATAGCAACGTAGTATTCGTAGCTTTCTAACTGGTGGCAAAAAACCGTTAAAACCGAAAAACAAAGATCTGCAACAACCACAGAAAGATTTGTAAAGTCTGCTAACTAGTTCCGTAGCCCAATTGGGAGAGTGATACCCTCAGTTAGGCGAAAATGTCGCTGGTTGGAGTCTGAAGTTTTACTTTGTGTTTATTCGGTCTCTGTATCAATAATACAAAAAACTAGTGGACTATTTTCACAAAAAATAAATAAATAATCATGGTATTCAAAATATTTTAATAATGTGACGGGACGAACAAGTCGTGCGCCTGATGGTAAGCTACACGTCTGTCCATAACAGTTGCAAGGATCTAAGGGGCACTGCCACTGCGTCCGTCACCCTGAGACGTAAGTTGACAAGTCCCATGTGCCTGTAATTACATCAGCACCCTTAGCCTTCAAAACCAGAACGCAGTAATGCTAACATTACTGCTTTGGCGGCAGAAATAGATATGTTGACAGTACTTCCCTGGACGAAGTCTTTCACAATCTACTGCTACTATATAAACAAAGTAAGTCGAAATATAAATGCACTAAAATCAACGAAACTGTTGATCAAGAAAAATATAGCAATACCCATCGATGACTGAACTATTGCGTTACAATGTAAGCAACATTAAATAGACCGCGAATTCTTTAACTTTGTCATGCTATTATTTCAAAGTCGGCCAAAAAGTGTTCTATTCGTTGCGTGTTTGTTTCCAATGCGCGCGCATGATCATTACATCAATCGACGTCATCCGGTTTATATACACTATACCCTAAAACTTTTAACCATATTCATCCGTCCAACACAGCAATAAGGTCGATTTTAACGCTTTATTTCTATTTTATAGCATGGATAATTCATCAATTGACTCCCCGTTTGCAGATAATGCAAACATTTTCATAATAGTACAATGGCCGTTTGATATTGAGAGGTGAAAGGAATGTGGAGTATTACGAGCTATGGTTCACTAAGATCTAATAGATGATTAAAAGTCCATTAGTTTGTAATAGAACCTTTGTGGTCTCAGATCAAGTATAAATGCTTACTTTTAATTAAGTTGAAGCTTCTTAACATTCTGTAATTGGAAATAAATTTTATTCAATTAAAACATATAAATTTACAATCTAAAGAACACCACTAGACTTCGTCCTTCGTCAAAAATTTCTAACCTAAAAAAATCCCGCGCTGTATCACGCCCGGCTCAAAAGTTCCCATTTTGTCGCACTGAATGCCAATGTATAGGTATACATTAGACACAAGAGATTTTTACTCGTGTCTGGCTCGAAAATTCCCATTACACTGGCAGCATTGCCTCGCTGGATGGCAATAGACACTTGTTGAACCAACCACACCACTCAGAGTGGTGATCGCAACCGCTATCTAGACCAAGACCCAGCCGTATTCCTGTAAAAAAAATACGTCTAATTTCAAGAGATATTTACAATTATTTTTTTAAACTGCGTCGATTGGTACGATTAGTAAAGCAAATTGTGTAAAATGGAAATTTTACACATCTTTCATTTAAAATTATAATCGTGCAAAACATATCACGCTTCCGATGAAACACAGACTTTACAAAAATAGACCATTTTAAAAGTGCAAATTTATACAGAAAAACAGAAACACATTATGCATTTCGTCACTTTTTCATAGACGGCGCAATGCTTATTGAAATAGTATAACATTTAAGAACTTTCCAAATGCGCACAGTATGTGTAAAAACAAAAAATAAAACTTTTAACACGTTTTCAGTAATTTTTTGCAAATTTAAATTAAATTCCCTGGTTCACTCAACGGAGGTACGATATGCAAAATGCAAGCTAAAGTTCTTTTGAGTTAGGAATTAATTTAATTTCAAGTTTAAATAGTATTCATAGCAGGCTTCATGATTTCTTAAATTTCTCTTAATTTAAAGTCCACATTGCGACGGTTGAGTTGAAATTTAGATTTCTGTACGATAAGATTTCAGATTGAACAAATAGTAGTAAAGTAAAATATTTACTTATTTATGATGTACAGTCAAGAGCACTTTTAAGTTGACACGTTTCACCTTTTTTAGCGTTAGCGACATTGAGTTCAATTTTTATTCCTTAAAAAACGGCAAACGGTCAGCTGATCATTGATCAACTTGTTAGAATGACTGCCGCCTTTGATGATTTTCGATACTAATTCGAGACTATACAAATCTAGAAAACTCGGACCCGCTTCGGATATTCGAGTTGTGTGGAGTTCCAATCCGAGAAAATACGAATATCGCTTGTACGCCTAGAGATAAAAGAAGATCCTTGTAATTCTTTCGGACTTTCATTTCTCGGATTGCTATCCTTTTTATTCCCTTCCCTTTAATCGGAAACAGCATTGTAGCTTTTCGGTAGAAATAGTCAAAACCTAGGCGAGTTCGACAAGGAGAATAGAAAACTCGACCGTCATTTAAAATAAGCACGTACATAAATTTTATTTGGTTTAAAAGTAAGGAAGTCCCCACATTGATCGCCAAGGAGTCACATTAAGCTGGTCTTTCGGTTCGGAATAGAAGCGAAACGCGCCTCGCCTTTTTCGCTTTTATTGCAGTAAAAATTATCTGACCAGCTCACGTTGTTTCCCCGTTAACAAGTGTGATGACTACCTTACAAAATTTTTAATATTGTATTAAATGTATAAGTGTGATACCAACTTAATACTATACTCTTAATAACATTTATCTATTGTCTATTACTATTAATCGATCTGTAAATAATTACATCTTACATAACACCTACAGAATGTTTATGACCTAAAAGCAAGGGTCGAAAGTTTTCAACAGGTCACTCTCCAAAAGGACAATCAACACAATGTAGAACCTTCCAGCTTCGAGTGCCAAAATAAGAGCTCAGTTGTGTAACGAGAAAGTGGACTGTTGTAATTCAATGTATTTAACATTGCCCTCGTGAGAGGAACACTTTGCACGTCGTTCATTGTATTTTAATTTGGTGGAGTAATTGTAGCTAATGTGTTATGTATTAGTACGAGAATTATTTGTTAATCTACGATGTCGTGTACAGGTGTCGTAGACATTTCAACTTTTGCGTACGGAACACTACTCGTATAATTTCAGGTTCTTGCTCCAATATAGTATGTCTACTATGTCATACTATACGTGTTGTCTCTAGGAGAAAAATATTCTACTCTAATTTGCTACATTCGCCACGCATGGCCATCAGCCTGGTGATTACATTAAAGCTGCTGCTTACCTCTTAAATCCTGGTCTGATATCTTGCACAGACAATAATTTAGCAATACGGTTTGCACTTTGAGCGTTAGATTAAGAAGTTCTGGGTTCGATTACCCATCAATTTACCCCGGTAGAACTGAGGTAAATTGATTCTAGGTACCTTCCTAGGTTCATCCCTTTTCTTTGGTGACTATAAGGGAATTCACTCGTTTGATTTCAGATATAATGTCATTTTTGACAAAAAGTAATTCTATTATCCGACACACGCTTTACCAACACGCGTCGAATGCATTCACCTGCGCGCACGCATTCACCGCAATGATATATTGTAGTGTCTTTCGTCCGCTACGTGACTATTATACTCTAACGCCGACCTCGTTACTTAATTTCCTATCATCATGGCGGCACAATCCAAATCGGAACTACTAATACCTAATCTGTTGCATTGAAATGTGTTTAAAGTTTTTTAAGAATAGATTGGTACCTACCTAGAGAGATAAACTAAGACCATTTCACCCCTTACATTTAACGCTTTGAAAAAAATTAATAATCTAATAGTTTTAAATAGTATCTTGAATAACAATTAGACATTAAATATTCTGTCGATTTCTTTGATTAGGTTTTCGCGACAGTTACACATTGGAAATGAAACAATTTTTTCGAATCTATATCGTATATATTTGTTTTTTCAAACAAACCAACATTTAGAGCCCTTTTATCTATCATCAAACAGTCAGCCATAACTATGGGACCGGGTTCGCGATAATAAAAAACTTTAATTTCCAGTCAATTATTCTAAGTAAGATGTAGTTGATAGTAGTATGACTCATTTTAAAAACACTTGCCTAATAAATTGTGCAGAATGAAAAAGTAACCATCGCCATCGCTGCAGTTGCTTTTTATTAGAATTTTCGACTATACTTAGAAAGTACAGTTTAGAAAACTGCGAGCAATACGTGCTTTTGTGTATTTACACATGGCCATTGAGGAATTACGCAACATTTTTTTTTTTCAGAGATTACCTACGAACCTATAGTAAACTGTTTGAAAAATACTTTAATATCTACACAATACAAATATATTACCTGCTTAACGGTTACCTATCAGAAACCCGTTTGCCCGAAATAACATTTGCTCGAATATTCAGAAATATTATAAAACAATCCTAACCAAACCTATTCTATGCGATGAGCACCCAAAATAGTGACGGTTCCGTTCTCAATCGGCTATCGGGATTATGAAAAATCGAGCAAACGTTATTTCGGGCAATTATAATTTTGATTTCTGATCGACGACACCTTGCTCAACCAGACCATGTCCAATTGTTACAGCTAACAGACATAGTAAACGCAATGTCGTCGCGAGGTGAGCTGCCGCTCGAGCTCGCTCTTCGAGGCCGCAGCGCTTCTATTGCCACCACTCTTCTGCAGCACTGTGCAGACCCTGATGCTAGAGGACCAAGAGGCAGAACTTTGTTGCACAGAGCTGTCGATGCTAGAGACGCGTTTTCAGCAAAGTTTCTTGTTGAAAATGGAACGGATCCTAATCTAACTACCAAGTAAGTTGGTATATATCATAGTTTCCCAAAGTGGTTCCTACCGCCCCCAGTGGGCGTTGAAGAGTCCTGGTGGATAGGAACATCGGAAGTAATTGGGGGCCTTGACACTGTCCAAAAAAAAACCTGAATTATATCTATATAATTATATATCTATATGAACTACACTACAAATTTTTTTCCTTGAGATTTTTTGTGTTAAGATAATGTAAAAAATACATGTTTTCAATTATTTTTTGTGGTGGTGGGCGCTGAAATACTTTTATCTTGCCTAAGTGGGCGGTGAGCCAAGGAGTTTGGGAACCTATGTTTTATATTACAAACCATCTTATCGTAAGTGGCATAGAGTTGTTTATATCATATTTTAAACGTTTTGCGTACACGGATTATACTGAATTGGAAACGGACTAGACTTCGCGGTTGTAATGTTTATTTTGACCGAACATAATTTAAATTAAACTTGGCTATATTTCTAATATTTTAAAATCAGTCTAGGTTTTTCAATAATATTAAGTGACGGGACGAACAAGTCGTGCGCTTAACGGTAAGCTACACACCTGTCCATAACAGTGCCACTGTGCTTTAAATCGCAACGATCTGAAGATCACTTCCACTGCGCCCGTCACCTTGAGACAAGTTGACAAGTCTCATGTGCCTGTAATTTCATCTTCAACCTTACCCTTTAAAACCGAAGCACGGTATTGCTCACAGTACTGCTTGGCGGCAGAAATAGGTAAGGTGGCAGTACTTCCCTGGACGAACTCTTTCACAAGGCTCAGTGGAGCCTACCAGACATTTGTGCCGACATAGACCAATGCGCATCTGACCTTTATCTTGCGACAAAAAGACTGGACAAATAAATTGCGTCTGCAATTACTTCGAACAATAATGGCAGGATGTTGCTGTTCCGGTTTTCGACGATCTTGATCTTGTAGGTACTTGAAAGACTCTTAACAGTAATAGAAGCGAAAAGTACCATTAGAAGATTACGTCATCAATTACGTAAGCTTTATGATATTTTTCGAACAAATTACTTTTGTTAGTATTATTATTATTTTGTTTTCAAATGATTTATAATAAAGATGTTTAAGTATTGGTATCATAAATTCCTGTATGTAGAGAGGAAGGAGACACCGCGCTGCACCTTATAGCGTCGCTGACGTCGAGCTCTTGCGACGAAGAGACGATGGAACAAATGGCGGAAATCGCAGATACCATGATACAAAAAGGCGCTGATATTAATCGACAGAATAGAAAAGGATTGTAAGTACATACATTTAAGAAAAATACAGTACTTCTATATTCACTATGTCCCTCGGCAAACTACGTGTTTCGGCTGTCGTCGGGCTTTTATTCGGTTTTCCTTTGCCATTGGTACAGACCGGACGCATGCAGTTGACTTGGAAGTATATAGAGGTGGTATTACATTTTTTATTTATTATCCTATGGGGGGAAAGCCGCTAAAGTAAAAACGAAAAATAATTTACAGCGTGTATTTGTATTTTTTGCAAGAAGCCGATACGTTCAGGAAAGAAAACAATGGTTATTTTCAAAAAGTCCAAAAACGTATTTCTGTAGCTTGTGGTGTTTCAATCGGAACGGTATAGCATATTTTAAAAGAATATCATAAAAAAGATAAATCAGTTCCTTTTCCTTTACTTTATATTTTTGTTAACTTGCTTATTGACATGGAGTAAATGTTATTAAAAATAGGGAAATAGTTTTACAGCTGTATATAGTCCACAGGGAAATGAAAACAAAACAACAATAAAGTACGTGGTTCAAAATTCAAATTATTACAGATTTTAAATGTAATAATTAATAGGCGTGGATATTAATATTCGTGTGTATTCGGAAATCCGATGATTGCCAAGGGACATTGAGAAAATAGAAGCACTGTAAATGTCTGAGTGTAATTATTTCTAGGGTCGGCGAACTAAAGCATATTAGTCAAAAATCAACATCATTCATTTCAATTAATGCATCTACCGACTAAAGCACATAAGTGAAATTAATTTGTTACCATGGCAAGCTTTACAGTGTATGCCATCGATACGATAAGATTTTGTTACTTCATTAATTTGGAACTTAGTTTTTAGTGGCGTCTTTTTTAAAGAAGGATGGCGAAAACTGCCCCAATAATGACGAGGAGCCGTTAATGGACTTTGCTAGTATAATTTTGCGTTTTAGTTTATGCCTAGTTATCAATATATTTTTGTATATTTTTAGAAGTCGGGAATAAAAAAATTGTAAAACATTGTATTTCAGAAAAGATGCAAGAACACAACGCAATTGATTCAGTTCGACCATAGATTAGGTAACGTTCTTGTACGTACTTTTCATTTTAAGCATGATTGAATGTTTACCTACCTGAAGTATTGGTTATTTTATATTGCACACGTAAAACATTAAAGCTATAAATTAACTAATGAAGTAATCAATTAAGCACTAATGACATAAAGCATAAATTAAAACACAAAATTGACAAAAATATATAGACAATATTTAAATGAGAGATAATGAAAGTTGCAAAGGAACGACAATCGACCTGTTGCCCAATGTCAATGTCACATTGATATTGGCAAGAGGTGAGAACTTTTTGACCATTTGTGGCAGATTTCTGCCATTTGGGCAGATTTAATTTTTATTCATTTTCATTGTTGCAGAACATGGTAAGTTATATTAAATGGGGCAGAGTTTGGCAGATATGGGATTAATCGGGAAGTTCTTTATTATGTTTGGGAGCAAACTGAAAACTTGTTGTTTTATGCTACTGCGAACAAACATCTAAAACGAAATTTAGGACAATGCTATAAACATAACCAGTATCAACTTCATAACCCCAGCTTCTACAGGCTGAACTCAATTAGCTTTTTTGATGCTTTGATAACGAATCACAAGTATTGAATCACAGGTCTCCGTAATGCACGTCGTCAAAAACACTGGGTCACAAAATACACGGGATGTCGCCATCCTTCTTTATCATTCTCTTCGCATCTTCCAACATTATATACAACACAAAAAATATATAATTATATATTAAAAATTGTAAACTGTTGTAACTTATGTGCTTTAGTCCGCCGACCCTAGATTTTATCCCTGTACTTACTAGTACGGTACGGACACGCTCATTGTTTTTAGATTGTGCGCACATTAGTAGTAGTGCATTAAAAAAACATTACGAGGAAGTTAACATATTGGAGAAACTTCAACAAACTCTCAGATAGTTGTCTAAGACTACCCATAAAGTAGATAACGGTTTAGATATATTGACGACCTCCGTGGTCGAGTGGCTTGCACATCAGTTCATATTGTCGCCATCTCTAAGGTCCCGCGTTCGACCCCCGGCCGGGTGAATGTAGAAAACTAACTTTCCTATATTGTCATCGGGTCTAAGTGTTTGTGGTACCGTCGTTATTTCCAATTTCCATAACACAATTGCTTTAGTTATTTACTTTGGGATTCAATCAACGTACATGAAAAGCAAAATCATTTTTATGTGTTTCATACCAAAAGTATTTTTTTTTTATTATGATATCCCAAAGCTGTTGAGACTTAAAGGTCTCAACAGCTTTGGGATCGCAAAGATTTCAGGGGGATTAGTCAACATAGGACCTATTCGCGAAACGACTTCCTTGTAAAAAATGTCCTGTTCGCCGAATAATACAATAATAATATAATAATAACGCACACACTCATAGCCCCGGACTAGGGAAACCATGTAGCGCGGGTGCCATGGACACACACATAGACAACCACAAATTACATCCAAAGTCACGAGAGAAATAAATGTAGGCCATACAAATGTTTCTCCCGGCCCGGGAATCGAACCCGGGACCTCTGCGTGGCAGTCCAACTTGGTAACCGTTCGACCACGGAGGCAGTTTGAATGACTTACTCTTAAAACGGCTAGTTTGTAAAATGGCTTATTCTTAGTACGGCCTGTTCGAGAATGACTTATTTTTAAAAAGACCTGTTCGCCATTGCCACATGCCTTCTTTTAGAAAATTATAATTTTACATAATTTGCCCTGCCGTGTTAACACTCTGAGACATAAGTTACAAGTCCCATGTTTCTCAATTTGTCTTCCAGCACACCTCTGCACCAGGCGGTTATAGCGCGAAACCAGAGAATATTCGATTTACTTCTAAAACAACCGACACTGGATACAAATCTTCGCACGATTAGCGACGAACATCCCCCGCTCTACTACGCCTTGGTCGACGATCGCCGAGCATCGATATCTTCAAGTGAAACACTCGTTATGAATGGTTCTAATCCTTTCGACACTCCAGTGACGAATAAAAACGCCTTTACTGAGGACCCTGTGGAAGGAAAAATTGAAAATATTGTAGAGAGAGGATTCGCTGCTAAGTTGTTAGAGAAAGGATGTCAGCCTAATCCTCTGTACTCTACAAACGGAGATAGTTTGTTGCATATTTTGGCGCAAGGATGGTTTGAGGTGAGTCACTTTCAATTTCTTGCCATATTATAAGTATAATAATAGGAAACAAATATTGGCATATAAGAATGACAATGCAAATATTTTCAATGTAACTTCTTTTTAAGGTAATAGGGAATAAATGATTATCACTAATATCAGGTTTCTTACCACGGTATGACTTCTTTTTTTTCCCCCGATATTTCCCCGATACTCTCAGATCTCAGTTCAGCGTCATAACTTTTTTTATATCAACTGACGGGACGAGAAAGTCGTGCGCCTGATAGTACACGCCTGTCCATAACAGTTGCAGTGCCACTCGGAGCTTTAAATCGCAAAGATCTGAGGGGCACTGTCACTGCGCCCGTCACCCTGAGATATACGTTGACAAGTCTCGTGTGCCTGTAATTTCACCAGCACGCTTACACTTCAAAAACGGAACACAGTAATGCTGTCATTACTGCTTGGCGGCAGAATTAGATGAGGTGGCAGTATTTCCCTGGACGAACTCTTTCACAAGGAGCTCTATTGCTACTCTTGATAATAAGTGATCATTTTCTTTATTTGCGGCGTGTGAACTGTTGTACCGTAGCCTCATCGTGGCTAATGCTCTGAGTTACAGAACTTTACTTTGTGTTAATATAAAATATTTAAATCGTACAAAAAATAAGCGCTTTGACGTCGAGTTGCGGACACCAGCCCGTTACACGAAGTACCAAGTAATATATAAACGCAGAGTGAAGAAACTTTCATTCTTACAGGTCGCGCAAAAAAGCCTTTTAAACCCTATGCAATATTCTGTTTGTTCTCATTTTTCCCGATCGGTGAATTTTTACATGTATCAAAAAGTTGTTATTTTCAATGTCAATACACTTTATTCTCGTTATTTCAACTCTGAGTAAGACTCATTTTAAGATTTCGATTCGCAATTGAAATCTTAACGTAAGTTTTGATATATAACGACCAATTTCAGTTGCGTGAGAAAAATGAAAGTCTCAATACAATTTCGAAAGGTGTGTGCATAAGCTTTTAAAACAATATCGACAAATTATAGTTTGCACATTTCAGAACATGGTTCCAAGAATCCATTATCCTTTTCTGGCTTTTGGATGCGCTTGTGACGTAATCCGATGCGACGAACGCGTTAACTCATGCTGACTCTACTTTATGTTAAACGAAACTATACGCCAA